GTCTTATGACTCTGGAAGCTTGAATCAGAGGCAACAGTCGATAAAGGAAACTCAGCTAAGAATAGCACAGCTAACCATCTCGTCTTTCCGCCTCTCCTTCCTCCCAGACCAAACCAACCGCCAAAGTTACTGAATGGATAATTCATACCTTTCAAAAATTAGTTACTGCTAGAAAAGTTGCTGCCTGAACACTGTTAAAGACAATTATAATGAAGTCACTTCAAATATAAAAAGATGGTTCAACAGCTTCACTTTAATACAAGATCTCGATCCTACAACACATTAACTGAAGCAGCGTAGCTCATGAAATGGTTTCGAAGCATGGCAAAGATCATTTCCCTCTTGCTGACCGCCTGAGAAAGAGGTACACGGGCAAAAGCAACTGAGCTGCTATACTACAGAAAAATTCTAGTCAAGCTTCTTACAGGGAAAAACCCAGATCCCTGTAATTCCAAAAGATTTTGAAGCCTTAGCTAGTAACCCGTTTATTCCAAGCAGAATGGTAAAAATCTCAGCACAAAATACTATCTGCCCCTTGTAGTTTATTATAATGGCATGTGGCCTTGAACAGAGAATGTAAGTGATCACACAAATCAAAAGGAACGCCAGGAACAGAAGCCAAGATTCTCCACTCCCAATGGCTCCAGGCACATGTCACGTGTCCCAACATCTTCCTCTGAGTTACTGTGGACAACCACACAGTAGAAGCTACTTACCAACATTCATTTAATTTTTTTTTTTTACAAATGTCTTAAAACCAAAGAAATTGTTTCAAATTGTTTTGAGAAAACATGAAACCAAGGGAAAAAAAAAACCTCTCCAGCTACAACCATTTAAGCAACCACACACTGATCTTAAACTGAGCATTCCAAAGATAACCCTTCTTATAATTCTTCAACAGCCAAGAAAGTTTCCTAACATTCAGAACCAAGTCTCTACACGTGTGAGAAACTTCCCCAATTCACAAGATTCACCAATACCACACTGATGAGGAAGAGGTACACTCCTATTCACACCTGTATGTTCAGGGGTCCTCAAACTTTTTAAACAGGGGGCCAGTTCACTGTCCCTCAGACCGGTGGAGGGCAGTTGGAGAGTGCAGTGCACATTCCACACAGGTGCACTGTGGACCTGGGATGAGACGGGCAGTGGCAGCAAAAACATGCCGAGGCCTGGATAAATGTCCTTGGCGGGCCGTGTGGCCCGCAGGTCGTAGTTTGAGGACTCCTGGTTTAAATGTTCTACATTAAAAAGAGCTTTTCCTTGCACCCAAACTGTCAGGTCTAAAAAAAAAAAAAAAAAAGGAATTTTTTTTTAAAAAAGAGCTTTTCTTGTTCTAAGACTTTGAAGCCAGCCCCACAGTGAGGGGTCATATGCTTTGGCTAATGGGCATGTTGCTGGTCATGGTACCATCCTATCCTATAGTTAACAGCTATTAAAATGCAACATTTTTAGATTTTAAGTAGCCACTGAAAGTATGATACATTTAAAACCACAGTTACTTATAGGATACTCTAACCAATTTACATGTTAAACACAGATTCTAATATGGAAATAAGTCGTTCACTTATTTTAGAGATGAGGTCTTCCTCTGTTGCCCAGGCTGGAGTGCAGTGGCAGAATCATAGCTCACTGCAGCCTTGAACTCCTGGGCTCAAGCGTAGTCTTCCAAGTAGCTGGGACTACAGGCAAGCACCGCCACACTCAGCTTATTTTCTTTTTTTAAGGAAACAAAAAAGAGGGACAATTGAGCTTAGGCATCACAGTTTGTTTTATAAGATTCTGCCTGGAAAACTATCTTATTTTTTTCTACTTTATTCAAATATATTTTCAGGTACATTTAATCCCAATTAATACTAACAGCTAAATCATGAGGAAGTTTAATCAAAAATGGTTAGGCAATAGAAAACCATATGAAATTATTTTCATAATTTAAAAAAGCCATGGAAATTGAACTAAAGCCACCATCCTCTCAGTTCCCTGTCAGCAACTTTCCTGTTCCCTCTCCCAGGCCCAACAGCCCACAACATAACAAAAAAGGACATCAGTGCTATTTGCATAATCACATAGGGGCGCATACAAGCCCCACAAGATACCAGCAGCTCTTCCAACAAAACTCAGCTGCAATCTTCAAAGTCACAACTATGTCCACACCCACCCTTACCTCCAAGGAGAGAAAAACATTAAGCCTATACCTCAGAGTCAACAAGTCTTCATTTGCTTTACCTTTTAACACTATCACAGACATCCAATGCACTGGTCTCTTCATACCAGATGCAGGGACCTCAAGGCCTGTGAAGCACAGCTATAATCTTCCCCAACTGAGGGGCATCTGAATGCAGAAGAGCCACATTCCTTCCACATTCCCTAGAGACTTCGGTAATCAGGAGTTAAGCCTGATCTCAACCAAACTCAACAAAGCCCCTTCCTGAAAGGGTCCCCACCCAGCTTCACTCAAAGTCAGAGCGTCTAGACCAGCCTGCCAAGCATCCAATCACCTCCTCGGCCTGCTCCCCTGTTTAGTTAGTGCAAGTCCATTCATCCATCTAAGCCAGCTGCCCTAGCATTCTCCAGCACCAGGTTCCCAGCATGCCTCGCATAGCAGGTATAAAGGTCATTGCTGCACATGTGGGTGGGTGTGCCTGCCTCAGATGCCCACATGATGATGGGATGGAATGAAATGACTGCTAAGCAGAAAGAACTCCACCCTGAAGTCCAGCAGACTCCCTTGGCGAGGATTGAGCGGAGGCATTCAACTCACTATCACAGCAACCCCCTCCAGGACCACCTCTTGACCTTTCTGTAGATGCTGGGCATGTGGTCATCAGGGTACCTTGTCTGCCCTCTCCCAGAACCCCTATGCAGATGGTGGAACACTCCAGATAAGGGAAACTGCATCACAGCTCCAAAGTTCAGTTAAAACAATTTTAATATAGATTTCCAGTAAATTTCCTGCAGCAAAGTAAGCTCTGCTTTTAAAACATTTCAACACCAGCAAAAGATTTACTTGATTCTCCTCTTAAATCAGTAAAAAAAATTGTCTCCAGTGTTCTCACCTCTATTTTCTAGTAAGATGGTACTGTATCATTTAAATTTCTGAGCATTTCCATGCTAGTGAAAAATGAGCTTGAATATTTAATCTACATTGTTAATAAACTGAAAAAGTTTCCATTGATAAATATTTGCTGCCACTGGTAACATTTTACCCTTATGTGTTTTCCTCAAGAGAAACTCCTGTTCATTATAAAATAACAACTAACTATGTTTTTAGGCTAGGCAAAAGCCTTTAAGAATAAAACAAGCAGTTGGTATCAGGTAATATTTTCAATTTAATTTCCTACACATGGGAAGAAATTCACACCAGGTTGGAAAAGAGAAGGAGAGTAAGACAAAGTAATCTGTATTTACATGTAGGTCAATGGATTGTATCTGAAAAACTCAAACATTTAATGTTTAAACTTAGAAACTCTAAAATGGTAAAATGCCAGTCCTTCAAACAACCATTTGCTTATTTTTTTAATTCAACATTTTAAGAAAATTAAGACACACTGGCCAAATATGAAACCAATTATAATTGGCAGAATGTGCTCAATTTTTCTCCTAGGTAACCAATTGAGACTATGCCTTTAAACTTTTTTAAGAGGGCTACAACTTCTCCCTCAGTTTTTCAATTCCTGTCAAACTAAGCTCAATCTAGGTATTTTTCAGTACACATTCTATTATTTTAGAAGCTTTAAAAAAATAATTACGTTGTATAGGAAATAACTTGACCACTCCAAAATTCCCAACTGGAACTAAATCAGGTCACTTGAATCTCTTTTCAATTATCCTAATGAGATTTAAGTACATGAACAAGAGAAATCCGCAAAAATCCAAACCAGCTCGTTCCTAAAAACATGATTTGCGAAAACGCTTTACCTGGAAGAGAGCTCAATCCGGAAATAGGCATAGCGATGACATTTTGTGTAGCCATCTATCTCTGCACAGCACCAGGGAACGGCAGAGCAAACCCCTCCTGCCTTCCCGGCACGTACTCTACCAATACCTAACCAGATACACGCAGCCCTGCTTTAAATTAAATTCGAGCTTATTGTTTGGCTCAAGCTGGGGGTAGGGGGATGGGAGAGGGGCAGGCAGAAACCCTAACCCCCACCTTGCAAAACCCAGAAAGGCACAGGAAAACCCCAGGGACACTGGGAGGGCACAGCCTTTCCAGTTAGTTACAGAGCCAAAATCTGGCCTGCTCTAGAGAAAGGAGCCATGTCTCCAAAAGACTTCAGAGGCCAACACAGTCTGCAAACATTCTGTAAAGTGACACGCTACACATGCTCCCGGAGAAGAGAAATCCCCCTGCTTAAGTAGCACAAATCTTGCAAGCAAAAAATATACCCTAAAAGGGGAGGGGGAGACAAAGGCGGTGACTACAGAAATCTATTATGTATATAGCTTTGGAGTGACCAAAAGGTATTTCTGGGCTGGAGAAGCCCAGGCGTTCGCTCACGTGTTCCAATACCCGCGGGCAAGCAAACAGGGGAAAGGCAAATTCCTCTTCTCGGATGCGCCCCGGGCCTCCCGACTCCGGACAGGGAAGGAAAGGCGCGCCACCCCGCGCGTGTCCACAACCGCTTTCCGCTACCTTGTACCTAAGGGTGTGTGTGTGTGGGGGGGGGGTCATCCCTAAGTCCTGCAGACTCCCCAAGTCTGCCCGTTGAGACTTTTGATTTCGACTTCCCGTTGCAGCAATTTGACCTGCTCTGACACAAAACATCTAGCTGTGAGCTTCCTTGAGAGATTTTGATAACCAATAACTACCACCGAGCGGCAGGGGCCACAGCACTGGCCACACACAGCCCTGCCATAAACGCAAGGGAGAAAGAAACGCCTAGCCACACAGCAGCCTGGTAAGCATAAGAGGACAAGAAGTTGCTTTCAGCTGAGTCTTTCCTCCCAGTAATGGAGTGAGTGGGAAGAGAATCGGTGAAAACAGAATATAAGCTCACCTTTGCCTTTTGGGGACCGAGTGCTCAACTTCTATGGGTTTCCCGTGCAGTTCCATTTTACCTGCGGACACACAATAAGTGAGCGAAGGTCGCCCGGGGTTCAGCGTCTCTCCCCACCCTAAGGACAGGCACAGCCTGAGCGGCGACACAAATGGCCTCCTGAGACCCCGAATTGACCCCAAGGCCCGGACGCGGCTTAAGGCCTACAGAGTAGCCGGGTATCGAACGGGTGGGAAGCCGACCCCCTCGGATGGGTGTGGGTTTTCAACTTACGGATGGTTGGAGGAGAGGATCCATCTGCGGGCCCACAGCTTGGGTAACGTTTTAGTCCCCAGGCCTCTCCCGCCCACCCAGGGGGGTCACCCCAACCCCACAAGGCCCGCGAGAGGGACACTCCCCACCGGACGAGCTCGGGGGAAGAGGCCACATTGGCTTTCTTCAGGAAGAAGCTCCCCCCCGGGCCCTCTCTCTGCTTGAGCCCAGGCCCCCGGGGAACACTGAGCGGTGGGGTTAGGGAGGACAGGCAGTGGCGGGAAACGGCCGGGGACGACAGGGGAGACGAGGGACGAGCGAATGGCCAGAGGTGCTGCTCAACACAGACTGAACCAGGAGCAAAGGACGACGAGGCTCCGCACCGGCTCGGAGTTGGTAACAGGGAAGCCGAAAGGCAAGGGGCTCGCAGAGGAACCTCCAGCGCAGCCCTCCCCTGAGGCGTTCTGCCCCGCCAGGCACGGTCCCCAGCCCTGGATTAGCCACCCTGCCAGGCGAGGCCGCAGCCCCGCGCCCGAGCCCGGAGAGCGGCGGGTGGCCCAGAGCCGTGACGGCGACTCCCTCCCAGGCGACAAGCCGCCGCCCCCGCCCACCTAGCCCCTTTCGCCGGTCGGACCCGGAGAGGTGGAATGTGGAGTAGGGAAACCGGGCGCACTCGCTCCCCTCCCGCAGGGTGGAGAGGAAGCGCGGGGCCGCCGGTGCGAGGCACCAGCCCGCGGCCTCCCTCGGCAGCCGGGTCGAGGCCACTTTCCACTCTCCAAGGCCGGGGGGTGGGGGTGGGGGGGGCAGCGAAGCCAGAGCCGTAAATAACGACCAGAGGAAAGCAGGAAGGAAGGAGGATCGAGCGGACGTGCAAGCTCGGCCCAGCGTGCCGGGCCTGGAGCACGCGCCTGGGCCCGGGCGGGGCGCGGGTGGAGCGCGCCTCCCCCAGCCCCGCGCCCCGCGCCCCGCGCCCCTGCGAGCCGGAGCCGGTGCCCGGGCTTTCTTGACAGCGCGTCCGCCCTCACCCGGCAAGCCGCGGCCGGGGGAGGGGAGCCGCGGGCAGGGGCGGGCGCCGAGGCTGAGGGGAGCCCCCGGCCCCCACGCGAGTGGGCACGCGGGCCTCACCCCCGCTCCCCGCCCGCGCCGGGCCCGGGGCTCGCGGAGCCGCCCGGTGGGCCCGGGCCGGGGCGCACGGCTGGGGCGGGAGCCCGAGCGGGGCCAGGCCGGGGCCCACCTGAAAGCGCCTCGATGGCCTTGAGGGCCCAGCTCTCGTCCGGGCAGTCCACGAACGCGTAGCCCGTCTTCACCAGGAAGGGTCCCGACACCGGGATTTTGGCGTCCTTGAAGATACTTTCTAGGTCCGAGGGGGCGGCGTTCTCGCTGAGGTTCCCGATGTACAGTTTGTTCATCGTGCAGATGAGTCGTTTTAAAAAAAAAAAATTAACGAGAAAAAAGGGAAAATTAAAACCACCCACGGTGATGGATGGATCCGGCGGGTTTTGTTCCCCTCGTCTTCTGGCCTTTAAAACACACAGACCCAGTAAGAACCCAGCGCTAGGACGAGGAGCGAAAAATCAGGTCCGAGGGTGCTTGTCCTTTTTCTAGACACTTTGAAAAAAAAGGAAAAAAAGAAGAGAAAGAAAAGAAAAAGCCCAGCTACAGCCCAGACGCATCAGCGAGTCTTCCTAACTCTGAGGAGGAGGCGGGATCAGCGAGAGAAAGGAGGAGGAGGAGGGGAAAAACTACTTTTTGTCTCTTCCTCTCCAACCCCTTTGGCATCGGCCAGCCGACTGTGAAAATATCACACTACGTGAGGCAGGCGCCGCCTCCCCATAAAAAACCCAGAAGGGTGACTGGCAGGAGGGAGGGGAGAGGGGGAGGAGGGAGGAAGGCGCAGGAGGCGGAAAAAATCCGCTCCGAGTGTCCGGCTTTTTGAATGAGCCACGTGTTCAAACTACAAATCAACGTCTCACGTGAGGAATCCCAGCGCCTCAATTAGAGTGGGTTTCGGAGGAAAAAAAAAAAAAAAAAGCGAGCGAGAGGAAGAGGGGGAGGGGAGACGAGATTGGGCGAGGGACCCTGAGAAGGGGGAGGAGGAGGAGGAGGAGGGAAAAAAATGCTAAAGCAGCCGCAGCCCTGCGCCGGCCGAGGGGAGCGGATTGTCACAACACGAGTTGAGAAAGGGTTATCTGGTCAGGGCCGATCCGGGGAGGCAGGGTTGGAATATTGATTTTTTTTTTTTTTTTTTGCAACGAGGCGAGGGGTGGGGTGCTAGGCAATTCCTCAGCTCTAGTTGCCGCAGTTTTTCATCGTTCACTTTTTGTGAAACAGGTAATTAGCAGAACCAAAGAGTCCCAATCCCGAACCCGCCCGGTGGCTTTAATGACACGAGGAGTGTAACCCCAGCGAAGCCGCGAGCACGTTTCCCAGGCCGGCGGGGACGGAAGCGCGGCGGGGGTGGGGGCGGGCGAGCGGGCGCGCCCCACCCTGCGCACCCCGGCCCGGCCGGGCGCCGCGGGAGAGGGGCGGCCCCGCGCCGGGGCGTGGGGGATGGGCGCCCGCAGCGGCGTCCTGGGCGGGTGTCTGGGCGACACCTCCTCCGCCTCCGCCTGTGCTCTCGGTGGCTCTCGGCTTCGCGCTTGCCATTGGTTGCGCGACTCAGAAAAGGCTCCGGGATAAATGAGGCCGGGGGCGGGCTGGGCCGCCGGTGGGGGAGGGGAGCGCGGGGGCGGAGGTTTCGGGCTCCGGGGTGGGGGGCGTCGGGGGACCGGGCGGCTGGGGGAGAGGAGGCAAAGTGGGGAAAGTCGGCATTTAAAGGGAAACCTTCCCTTTCTGTAGCTGCTCAGAGAGGGCGGTGTGGTGTAGGCTGGCACTTTTATTTAAATAATTTTAGTTGGAGAACTTGGGGACTTTTAAAACAGGAAGACCGCTCGGCGTTACCCATAGGTGGTATTCGCACTTGAGGAACTGTTGGAGCCTTTTCTGCCTCTCTGCCTGCATTTGGCCGCGAGAGCCATTCATAATTTTGCCTATATGTAACGAGTACAATGGTGGGTGTGGGGGAGAGGCTCTGGGCCCAGTGGAGCCTTTGTGGGCCAACAGAATGTGAACTGGAGACGAGGAATACGGAAACGAGGGCAGTGCTGGGGACCTTGTGGAAATCTCCAAGTGTCGTTTAATGATTGTGTACTCTACTCAAAGGCTGCATTTGCACCAGACTCTTGTGGTGCACTTTTAACAGGTACTCCATGAAAAAGACTTAAAATGCTGATTTTTAAGACGTGAAAGAAATTCTATATTACATGAAAATGTGAACAAGAATCTTTAATGACTTGGTACTCTTGCTGGCAGAAAAAGTATCGTGAATAGAGGAAATATTGTGATTTACACTAGAAACGTCTTCAGTCATGAATTGATACAGTTCGCTTCTCTTTGTCAAACCAAACCCGTTTATAGCATTTAAAAGTGTGTATATTCCAATTAAAAGATGAATAGCAGTTTATTTTTAAAGCATGGGAATCGTTGCATGATATAAAGAATATTTACATTTTGTCCTTTACAAACAACATACTTTGTAATTTTGTGCTAAGTAACCGGAAGGTGTCAGATTATTTTAAATGCAACTGTTCTAACAGGTTTTCCTTTCCTGCTAAGCAAATCCAACATTTTAAACCTAAACACACTTTCACAATAATTTCATTCATGTTTAATTTAATGAAATGCTTTTACTTTGAGATGGGGGAGACGAACGTGTTCCTATATAACAATGTTTAGAACTGTATTTTGAGCTCCATATTGAAAGACATTTTGGTGGTGAAGTTTCTCTTTATGTTTAACTTTTAAGAAGAGCTTACTTTTTTCATGTTTTTTTAAAAAGAGGACCTTAGTTATAAAAAAGAAAATATATGTATCCTATGGTATGCAAAATGTAAATATAACCAATTACGAATTTATTTTAAATGTACCTGTTGCATGTAATCAAAAGCCATTTGGAGAAATATGCTTTTCATTCATTTAGTAATTTTTGCTCTTAATACCACTGTAAATGTTATAGTCTCTTGATCACTTAACTCTTACAGTTTGTTCTTGAGAAAAATTACTATGTTCAGCTTGCTTCCAGAGTCAATTGAATGGTGGCTTCTGGATTGTTGATTGTATTTGCTCTTATTAAAACTGAGACCTAAGGAAGTATCTCCTTCTAAAGCATGGGATAATTTGTTTATTTTCCATAAATACTAGCCCATGGTTGTCTGTCATTATCAAACAAACCTAACAGCTGGAATTTAAAACAAGTGTGTGCTGTTTTGATGAAGTATGTTCCTGGGACTCTTGTGAACTTAATCTGTGTATTATTGTAACAAACTGGATACTCCATCTAGGACCTTAAAAACATACACTAGTAATATAAGCTCAGACATCAGAAAGGGAGGTGGATACAGTCCACTCCACTTCCAATCTTCCAAGCATTCAAGGAATAAACTATATCTTCAATGGCTGAGTAAAAAGATAATGAATAGTTGTTTTTTTACTTCAAGTGCAAAAATATCTTTGGTGAATTTTCAATAACGAATATAAAGTCAACCTAATTTCCAGTTTTTTAATGAATCTCACACAAATTAACTGTTCATGGGCTACTCCAGGTTCTTTGAAGCAGTTGTAGCTCCTAATTAATGTCAATTCCACCAAAAAAATAACTCCCACCCATTGTATGTGTTCTCGGGTGCGGCTGAATCTTTCCAACTGCAGTCAGTTTACTCTTTGGACAGCTGTACCTCCTCTTTATCTGCTGACCTGAGGACAGTAAAAATGCTTCTGATGGGTCAGTGTACCATTAAAGGAAAAAACTATGTTTAGAAGGTCGGTTACCCAATCCACAGGTTACAGGCGAGGCTGAGCAGACGAGGAGGGGGAAAGGGCAGTCCTGCAGCCACCTCGCTTTACTCCAGGCTGCCTGAGACCAGCCGGGAGCCAAAGCCCCTCACGCGGGTGGGCACACAATGCCCGCCGCGTCGCCTGGGCCTCCTAGGAGGTATTTTAACACGCTCTTGCTCTTTGGAACAGCTCTCCTGGACTCTGATCTGTTTAAACCAGAGGCGTGATTAAGTGGTGACCAGGATCTGCCTTCTCTTATTTTTGTTTAAAATGAAAAAAATGGTGCCCCAAGAGATGAGAAGAAAAGGGGTCGCTTCCTTTTTCCTCTGGCTCAGCCCGGAGAAAGAGGGCGGGATCCTCGCAGCTCACACTGGGGAAGGAATCTCGTCGGCCGCCCGCTCGCCTGCGGGGCCCTGACCACTGGGCCGCCCTGCCGCGGGCTCCGGCTCCGCCTTGGGGGGGCCGCCGTCGGCGCGGAGCCCGGGGCCGGCTGGACGGTGCGGGCCGGGGGCCCCCCGTGCGCCTCCCCTCGCCGCACCATCCCACCTGAGAGCCGCCCTCGCCCGCGAGCCGCGCGCACGGACCAGGCAGCGCGCGCCTGGCGACCGTCCCGCAGCCCCGGGCTCCGTGGCGTGCCAGCGCGGGGCTCCCGGCGCTCGGGGACGCCCGGTACCCACGGAGGAGGAGGCGGCGGCGGCTGAGCGGCCGGGCCGAAGCCGGCGGGGCAGCCAGGCGGGCGGGCGCGCTGCAGCGGCCCCGGGGCGGGGCTCCCGCGCTGCACGGGGTCGGCTCGCCGAGACCAAGTTGAGCAACCGGCGTCGAGAGAGGCGCCGCCCCGGCCGAGGGCGGGGGGCTTCTCCCCTCGCGCGATTGGCCCAGGCGGGCAGCCAATCGCCGTCGGCCGCCGCCGCCCGAGCCGTTTGCTGGTTTCCACTCATTGGCCCCGGAGCCGTCCCCGCATTTCCATCTTTTGTGGCGCGAAAATAACCCTTTGCGCCCTCGTCGGTTTTGTTGAGGTCGAGGGGTGGTTTTGTGTCCCCCTCCCCTGGCTCTCGTTTCCTCCTGCCCTTTAACTGCTCGCCCCCGGCCCCAGCCCCCGAGGAGGAGGGAGGGAGGGGGCCATCTGCGAGGGTGGGAAACAGCGGAGTGTCCGCGAGCCGAGCCCGCCCCTCGGGCTGACCGCGTGGTGCCCGCGTCCCCGCCCTTCCCCCAACGCCCGGCGCCCGGAGGTCCTGGGTCTGCGCCATGCTCAGCAGCTGGAGGCACATCTTCGCCTCCCCGTCCGCTTCCAGCACCTTCGAATGCAGACGTCTTTTCTCTTTAAAACAACTGCACTAAATTTGCATCTCGTGCTAAACTTGCAGATGCCTGAACTTTCCGGGGCTTCTAGAGGAATCGATCCGTTCTGCCCCCGCCCCTCCCCTTCTAACCCCCTTTGTGGTCCGCAGGGTTGCTCTAAGCAAAACCAAACAACCCCTCCAAAAACAAAAAAAAAAAAAAAGCAAACGAAAAATTCCGGGTAAAATCAACTATGCGGAGACCACGTTTTCGTTGAATCTGCCTTAAGACCAGTGAAGCTGTGAGACCTACCTTGAAGGATTGATTTCTGTAGCTGAAATGTTCTAATTTTACTGACGTTTGGTGGAGACGGTGAGAAAAAATAAATATGAATTTGGCTTGGAAAAGCACAAGACAAACGAAATAATCATATTTAATTTGATTAGCTGAAAAGGCAAACAAACACAGTGGTGTATTCTAAATGCTGGTGTCTTTGGTGGTTTGTAATTATATAAATAAATTGCTATTGGTCGTGTCAAAAATAAATTAAAGATCAGAACTCTGGTCATGACATAAAAGAAGGAAGTAAAAATGTGTTTGATATATCTATTT